GTGTACATGCACAAATAAGACCTACGAATGTAGGTTATTCAACTTAATTTTGAACTCAAAATTCGAAGACAATCAATAAATGGTATCACACCTTTTTATCTCTCAGGGAAAGCAAACAGTTCTCACTAGAGATTTCCCTAATCGAACACATTTGAAATATCGCAAAGTGTTCCTGTAAGCCGAGTTCTAACCTCGCAACCGAGAGACCGAGGAAAAATTCCAATGTTTTATTTAAAAAAAAAGGCAAGTAGGTCTGATCAGCCTATCTCTCCTATAATCCTGAACCACTTCGATAAGGAGGACTTTGCAAACCCTCCAAGTAAAATCTATGGTTTCCACCAAGATTAAATATTTCTTCCTAAAGAAATTTTAATCGAAAACCCCCTTGCGCAAATTATTCAAAACAGTAATAGAAGCCCCCTCGGGCAGAAAATTTGGGAAAGAAACAAACGGCCCCATGGCCAACAAAGCGAATTTCATGTCTTTAAATTAAAGGGACAATCCCCACATAACGTGAATGCAATCACCATCATTCATTCACAAGCGAACCGCCTTCTTCCCTTACTTGACTTGAGACAAGAGCACCCCCAACGTCATCGTCTTGAGTCACGAGAACCACTTCAGGGTTAAGCGAGCTAGCATCAAGAGGAGTCTCGTTCCTCGATTCAACACCGTCTCCCATAACCGAGGAGATGACAAGCCCCTGATCAGAGAGCCCCTGAGCTCTTCCCGAGGAGATTCTGTCAACATTGGTTCCAAACTCATTAAAATGAGCGCAAGGAGAACCGGTTAACACCATCTCGTCCAAGGACGAACCAATGTTTGGTTCGGTCAATGGAGGGGAATCAGCGAATTCAGAAGCAATCTGCTGCAAATTCAGATATGGCTGAGGAGCGGTATTTAGCTTAGCTACAGTCTCAGCTAGCTCAGCACCAACCGTCTCGTTCTCTTTAGCCAAATTGACTTTTCTATCCTCTATCTCTTTGATCAAATCGAGATTGCTTTTCATTTCATCGCGTTCGGAGTTAAGCTTGTTCCAAGCTTTGTCTGCAGCGATAAATTCCTGCACAGCAAGAAGAAACTTTTGCCCAGCTCCCTTAACCTCCTTCCGAGCATCATGAGATATTTTGCGAACATCGCTATCTTTCAGTTCGGAAAGAGACTCATTTTTGCGTTCGAGCTCCTCAGCAGCTGCTTTAACCTTGTTAAGCTCTGATCTCAGAAGCTCAATCTCGCCTTTTGCAAAGTTATGATCAGCAAGGGCAGTCTCTAGCTTTTGCTCTGTCTCAATCAAAGTCCTCCTTGTCTCCTCGCCGGATCTTTCGAGTCTCTCGATCTCTTCTTGGTGAGCCTAGTCAAGGCCAGCAGATTCCTGCACAAGCTGGAAGATTGCAGTTTTTCAATCTCTCCTTCAGCGGCAGCAACTTTCTTGGAAACTTTGGCAAGCTCCTCTTCGTAAAAGTTCACAATGTCATTCACATCCAAACTTTCCTAATAAAAGAAGTTTCATCGTAAAAAAATATATATATATTTTCTTTCAAAATCGGCTGTTTGAAGATGCAAACAGTCAAACCTGGGAAGAGTGAAATGAATGACTGATGTACATCTTCTTGATATCAGGCTTCCACCAATCAAAGGATGGAAGCTTCTTCCCAACACGGGTGTGGAAGCACCTAAACATATTCCCGATCTTCTCTTTATCTGGAATAAAGTTAGTTGTGTGAGAATTGAGTTTTCTTTAAAAGAAAGAATCTATTAATCTCAAACAACAAAATGATAGTTAAAGGTTACCGGCTTGAGACGAAGCTCTGGCAACCAGTCCTGAGTTCGAAGATGATCGAACCCTAGAGGTATTGCCTCGGGGGCGCCTAGAGGGTAACATCCCTGAACCCAGCGGTTCCTTCAAAACAGTTCTTGAATCAGGATTTGAATCCTAAGCTTCAGTAGGTTCGGGAATTGGAAGATTCGAAGGAGCGGCTCTGCCCTTCCTTGTGCTCTTGGGACGTCCCTGGGGCAGGGGTCCAAGTTCCTCAGCCTTTCTCTTCTTCATAAGAGAAGTGTCACTTGCAAGGCCTTCCTCCTCAACGATGGCATCGGCCATGTTGTCTGCTGCTGGGATCCATCGTCAACAAGGAGAGTTTTCCGGTAGACTTTGTCGTCCTCGGTGGAAGTTCCATTTTTCTTGTTTTTCCCGATCAGGGAAATCTGATCTTTAACCTTTTTGTTTGCCTCTTTGATCTTTCTCCTGTCTCGCGCGCCGTGAATTCTTTCCAGAGTAAAAGAATTCCAATTAACTGGCCTCTCCAAGACGGCCTTGTAAAATTTGAGAAAATCGACGGATGGAACTGGTCGAATCTGAGGACCTGCGAGAAAACAAAAAAAAAAAATGTTGAAACACAGTTTGAAATAACAAAGGGAGCTTATTCAGTTAAGTCCCAATTTCTACCCAAATTCGATGACCAGTGAGTTCGAGGGAGTTCGGAAGAATTTTGAATAGAAAAATTATTTATGCGGAAAAAGAACCAAAACTTCCTCGAGACGGTGTCCTGTAAAGGAAGGCCATCAATTAGATTCTGATCCGCGTTCGGATAAAGGGTATAATACCCAGAAGTTCGGGATTCACGAGCTTGGAAAAGTTCCAGGAGTTCGCAAAGTCCCAATGAGTAGCCCGCCTCCGCCGCAACAGTTAGGGTACACAAAAGATACCGGAGCATGTTGGGCGACATCTGGGAGAAAGCAATTCCCAGATGGTTCAGGTAGACGAGAAGCACCTCAGGAAGGGGAAGGAATAAGCCGCACCCTTTGAAATAAATTTCATAGGCACAACAGTAACCTTCTCGCCCCGACTCTGGAGACTCGAAGGGCTCCGGGACTACCATCTCTACCTCAGGGGGGATGAGACATAGTCTATGAAGATTGTTGAGAGAATCGATAGTTGATTCACTCTGGGGGTGAAGATCAAACCATCTCCGGTTTGAATCTGGGATTCGGACCCTTCACCCATGAGAGTTTCGAGATCGTCAGCCTTGTATTCGCAGAATTCGGAAGAAAGGTTCGACATTTTACGAAAGGGATTTTTTACCAGAAAGAAAACAGTGACTTCCGTAATAAGAATGAAGGTTTTTTAGGTAAAGCAGATAAGATGGAAAAGTAATATTACCTCTTAGAACCCTAAAGTATGATGAAAGACCGCCTAGAGAATATTGGGAAGTGGGACAGTTTTCCCCGTGGTATTAATATAAAATTAAGAAATTAATGATGACGGTTGTCAGGGAAATCAAATCATCTGATTATCCGAGATCAGCGTAATTGCGAAAAACATGGAGTAATTCCGGAATGTTAAAGATCTCGAGTCATTAATTACAGTTTACGTAAGTCTTCTAAGCCGAGCACTCAGCTCGCAAGACTTAGGGGGCTAAATTTTGGGGTCGGATCCCACACATCTTCGGTAGGATCCACTTGGATCTGTCCACGTCATTATTACATAATAATCCTCTTGGATTCCTAGATGTTTCATTGCGAGAATCGAGCTTGACCTGTCAGAAGTTCGATTCAGTTTATTAAAGAGCTCGATATTTACCAGTACGGAGTTCGCTCGTATTCAACATATAGTTCGCATAAAAGAAGGCCGAAGCGAGGAGAATATTGCTCGAGGTTCGCGGCAGCGTCAAGACGCAGGAGTTCGGAGTCAACAAGAAAGAGTTCGGAAGATCCACGCGAAGCCCAAGATAGTTCAAATTCAAGCCGTTTCGGTCAAATTGTAACCTACATGATTAATGCGGATCAATGCAATTATGAGCAGTAAATGACCGCATTGATCATGTTTTCTCTATAAAAACAACCTCAAACGCGTGTGTTTGGGGGAGAGAACAACTTTTTCCTCTTACGATCAAGCAATACAACATACTTTTTCTTTTACAATTTTGCAAGGCTTTTTACTATTTTATTCTTTCCAAGTTCTTTCGCTTTATTTAGTTTCTTGGTTACTTCCCTTTTCAATTCCATATTTTTATTTGTTGATTTTAGAGTTTTTCTCCACAAAAATACTTAAAGACAATCGAGTGTGAATCCTACATCCACAATGAGTTTTGAGTAGTGATTAGGGTTCTTGAGGATGGGTTAGAGTAGTTTAGAATCCTTGATCTGCTAGGTGGTTGAGTTTGATTGGTAGATCCCTTCTGGATTAGTTGTTCTTAATGCTAATTTCTTTCTGATCAACTAGAATTTGAGCCCAGACATTTCCGCACCCACAAGGTGTTCGATGAAATGTCTGAACCACTAATTCCAGAGATTCGTGGCTTTGTACCAAGGTATTGGTTACAGAGAGAGTTTTGACTTTAACTTGTTGATTCGTAATGCCTGTTAGGTTAGCTCTCGTCAATGGTGATTGAGTCTAGGACTAGCTTTGCTTGAGGATCTCTGTTGCGGTAGCACTTTGATTTGGTTATTGAACTTGTTGTCTAGGGATAGTTTGTTGAGCATGTTAACCACCTGTTAGATTAAGGAGACTTCACTACTCGATTACCCCATCCTCGGAAATTTCTCTTCCAATTGATTTTCTTGTTTACATCGCTATTGATTGCTTGATCTTGTTGCCTATTGCTTTGTTTTTGCTTTTTTTACTTATTTCATTTAAAGTACTCGACCACACACAGTGGTTTGGAAACGGACTGTGTGGTAGAGTATATTTGTTGCAGTTTCTGTTTGGTACTCGACCTGATACTCGACCACATCCAGTGCTTGGCATCAAGCTGTGTGATCGAGTATATTGCCTGTTTCTATTAGAATTTCTGTTTTTGCATGATCACCTAGGATTGTTACACTACAGAAAATGTGGATATTGATAGCACTAAAAGATAGCGTTTTTTATATCTATGCTATCTTTGCCTGAATCGTGATTTAAAGATAGCGTTTGATAATGTGTAAACGCTATCAATGGTTTAAGCGGGATCCAAATTTTTCACGTGGCCAAAAATTTTAGTTAACCCGCTATTGAATCTGGTTAAGCGAGACCAAAAAAAAAAATGACCTAAGGCAAAAATAAAGAAAAAACTAAAATTCACTTTCCTCTTTTTCTCTAAGGGAAAACCCGATCTAACACTTCCCCTCTCTCTATTCTTGAGCCATCGTCGATGAGAGGAGAGTCTGGGAAATGAAGAACGTACCTGAAGGAAAGAACCTATAGAGAGAATTTTCTGGGTTCGTGCGCAACGAATCGCCATTAGAGAAGACATTTCTCTGAGATTTTGGGGCTGTGGAGTTAGAAATGGTAAAGATTAAAACCCTGAGAAAGAGTTAGAAATTTATATTCGATTGTGTTTATGATTTTATTCAATTATGGTATTTGCGTGTTTGAAATTTGCAGATACCAATCGAATCGTCATTGCAAAGAGTTCCTTCAAGCTTTCTAATCCTCTCGGTTGGTTACTTTATTCCCTTTCTCATCGAATTTTTCAATTTATTTTATCTTTTGTTTGATCAATTTTTCAAGTACTTAAATCGCTGATTCTTAATTTGTTGAGTTTCTGATTACTTGAATTAGATCGTGTAAGATTCTGATTTTGGAACTCAATCTTGATTAGTTTTGATCTTCTGGGATCAGATATGATTTTTTAATTTGTGGTTTTGATTGGATTGTAATTCATGTATCATTTTAGTTGAAAGAGTTAGCTCAAGCTTATGAAGTGCTTAGTGATCCGGAGAAGCGTGAGATTTATGACGAGTATGGTGACGATGCACTCAAGGAAGGATTGATAGATGATGAACAAGGAAGATCCTCTCAATTCAGTGAGGATTTTCTTCTAAGCAATCCATGTGATGGAGGAGACAGCTCCTTGCTTACTCTTTCTGGGGACGCTTCTTCTGATCTTGACCTTGGCTGTCCTAATGACAACTTCTCCTTAACAGAGCAATTGGAACTGCAGTTTTTGTCTGATGAGCTTGAGTTAGGCATCACAGACCGTGCTGAAACCCAAGACTTGATGTAAGTTAACTTGGAGAGACACATGGATTGTTGTTACCCTTGAGACTGTTCAGAGTGAGTTTCTCTCTTTAACTTGCTAGCTTTTTTGTTCTGATTGCAGGAGATCTACCAAGTGAATCATGGCCAAAACTGTGTTCCTGCATCAATGTCTGTTACTGCAGAGCCTTCTCTAGGATCAGCAGTTAACCACATACCAGGAATGAGATGGAGTCCTGAGCTCCATGAGCTTTTTCTAGAGGCCGTGAACAAGCTTGAAGGGCCTGAAAGTGAGTTAGCTTTTATGTTATTCCAACAACCAATCTATTATTCGAAAGAGTTCTTCTGACCAATATCTTTTTGTTTCACTCCTGTTCCCAGACCCCTGAAAGAGATTTTACTATCAAGATATCTGGTCTGTAAATATACAATGAAAATGTTAGTGTTTTGCTGAATTCATATTCCGGTCGTGCCCTTAAACTCCTTGATGACTCAGAGGTATTACACTAATTTACATTAATTATGTTCTTGCTCATGTTATGGCCTTGATTGACTGTAGACTGTGGGTACGTCTCAATGATATTATCTCATCATTGTCTTTCTTTAATCAATGCTAGATTGCTGGTTGATTCCATGGATGTGTAATGAGTTAGTAGTCAAATTTTTATCGGATATAGCTGAGGTCTGATGTAGTTAAGGACGGCTCTTGAGGTTTTGCAGGGTAAAATCAATTTGACAGAGAGGGAAATGTTGGAGAAATCATCTCAGTTAGCTATGGAGAGAAATAAAAGAAAAGAACTCTATAATGCTTACAAGAAGCTGACATCCAAATATAAGTTTGTCTGCAAAAGATTTGGTCTTACTGCCGACAGCTTCCTTGAGGATGATGGTCACTGGACCAAGAGTGAAGAATGCTGTCAAGTTGAGCAGAGTATCTGCTTACTGAATTCAGAACCTCCTATTGATGATATGATAGAGGATCATGACACCACTTTTGTTTTATATATCTCTGTTACATGTATACTCTTATCATTTGTAAATAAAATATTTCTAACAATATTCTTTTGTTCTCCATTTTCTTTGAGATTGATTATTTATATGAGATTGATTATTTTAAGGCATGTACTTTAGGTTTCAAGTTAAATGATTTTAAAGATTTTTTTTAAGATTTTTTAAATGATTTTCGAATTTTGTAAAAAAAAAAGTTAAAAAAAAAATAACCAAATATCTCAAAAAGACATAAATATTTAATTATAATATTAATAATTACAAAAATAATAACAAAGTTATAATTTTAAAGAGTTTAGGGTATAGAGTTTAGGGTTTTAGGATATAGGGTTTAGGGTATGAAATGTATGGTTTAGGTTTTTGGATTATATTTGTTTGAAATAGTAATAATATTAATTATAACAAATAATAACATAAATAAAATTCATTTTTAAAAATAGTTTAGGGTTTAGGGTTTAGGGTTTAGGGTTTAGTGCTTTAAATAGTAGCTAATATTAATGATATAAAGTAGTATACTATTATAACATAAATGAATTCTATCATTTTATTAATTATAACATCATTAATGTGTTTCAACAATATGATTTACACAATAAGAAGATTAGTGTACATGTATTCTAATGCAATCATATGTGTTCCCTTCAAATTTCAAAAAACGTTGCAAAATATTTTTTTTTAAATTGTAAAAAAATTATATAATCATGTAAATAACTCATAAACATATTAATTCATCAATATATAATTTTTTAAAATTATATAAATAGTAAAAACACATTTTTATGCATATAAACAAAATAAGCCAATCATAATGTTTCACTCGGATTGCTGATGTGGCGAGATCTCAGCCATTCATCGGATCTAATACTTGATCACTTTACTCAATCCAATCATAATGTTTCACTCAGATACATGACGTGGCGACATCTCAGCCTTTCAAAGGCTTTGGCGGCTGTATGTTTAAGGTAATCTCATCCGTTCATCGCCCAACAAAGGCTTTGGCGAGATTCTCTTCAACCCTTTCTTCCTTTCCTCGACATCGACTGAGAACAAAATTCACAACAAAATTAATTCAGATTAGGTCTTCGTCTTTGGCGACGGCTACTACGACGCCGGCAACAAGCAGTTTCTCTCCGGGAACCATGTCGACGCCAATTCTCCACCGATGGCCACATCATTCCTGACTATCTCGGTACATTTCATATATACTGATCTCTTGAAATCGGTGCTAATTCGTGAAACAGAATGAATGAATTTGAGTTGTCTCTGTTTTGCGCAGCTGAATTGATGGGTATCCCAAGAATCCCACCGATTCTACGGAGCTCGGCAGAGGATCTCTCTCACGGAGCTAGCTTCACTATGGCCGACGCCACCGTCCTCGGCTCTCCTCTCAAAACGGTCAGCTTTTAGTTTTCTCTGTTAGATCTCGCCTTTAAGTAAAGTTTCTGTATGGACCATTTGAATTTGCGTTAGTGATATCTGGAGATTTCTTTTGTTTAAGTAAGATTAGTTTACATATGAACACAGATGACTCTGTCTCAACAAGTGATCAAATTCTTCCAAAACAAGAACAAATGGACTGATAAAGCTTTGTCAGAAGCTATCTACTTGACCCACATTGGCTATGATGATTATTGGGTTTTATAGTTTTGGTTGATTGGTTTCTAGAGCTTGTGCTTTTGCTGCATCTTCTGTTACAATTTCTCTTTCGTTTTTCATATTGAATCTTCTTGTTGCTGCATCTTCTGTTAGTGTGTAAGCTGCTGTTCTTCTCTTTGTTTGGTTTATAGTTAGTTTTCGTTTTGGTTTCTTTTATTGACTCTAAGACTGAATTTGGTTTCTTTAAACAACCTGACAGAGTCAAAATGAATGGTTGCTGATAGCAGATGTTACTCAATCGTGTTGGCTACTCTCCTAAGATCAGCCACAGAGAGCTGGTAGAAATGGCAGAGCACCGGAAGGAATTGGAGAAGATGGCAAAACCCGTTCTTGATACTCTAAGAAACTACCAGGACTTGCCTCCGGTAATCTTCTTACTTTGTTTTCATTGAATCGAAAAACCTGATAACATCTCTGGTTCTCCAAGTCTTAATTAAACTGTGATTGTTCAGCATTATCAGTCTCCACTTTATTATTGGTTATTGCTAGTGTCGCTTCACAGTGTATATATATATCATTTCCTTCGGTCTCTTTTTTTAATTTGACTTATTTGTTTATGATTTAATTGGTTTTGTCTTTACAGTTTCATGTTAATGACCAAGCTGCAATTGAGATGGTTAAAGGTCGACGAAGCAATATTCAGAAGAAATTGTAGTTTTTAATTTTTGTTTTTGTTTTACGCCAAATTAGTGTGTAAACTTTTTTTATATAAGAGTTTTTGTATATTATTTTATGTAATAATGATAATAAATATTGTATTTTATTTTTGATATGTTATTTTAATCCAAAAATTCCAGTAAATGTGATTTAAATATAATTAAAATAATTAACAAAAATACAAATATTATAAAAAATAAAAATTACTGAAATAATTAATCAAATATAAATATTGCAGAAAAAACAAATTATAAAAACAGATACAATCCAATCATAACTATTATTATACGTTATTAGCGTCATAAACGTTATCGTTGTATACATAACTATTGCACAACGCAAAACCGCTATCAAAAGTGTCCGAGTTTCTATAACGGGCGATGTCAGAGCGCTTAAGGAAACGTTATGGTAGATGAATAATTGCGTTTTTCGGCCGCTATTAATACCCACATTTCCTGTAGTGTTAGAAACACCAAAACCTGTTATTGCTTGGCTTGACTCAGTGAAATCTGATTGCATCTTGATTGCTGGCATCACACCCATTTGGATTGACACCTTAAATACTACAATGACATGATAGTACTTTAAGGAATTGAGAACTAGTTAAAATCTTACTATCATACCATTACATTGACTACTTTCATAACTAGACCATAAAGTTATCGTAATGGTCCCTTTTATGTCTTTAAGTACTGACCCATTTTGTTATCATAATTTCCAAAACTATAATGTGTACACAATGGAAAACAGAATATATATAAAAGATGTAAAAGTCATAATGAGCTCAAATAATTGTCAAATATACGCTATCTTCAAGACCCATACGTTCCGTATGTTTCATAAAGGTCTTAGGCGGTAATACTTTCGTAAATATGTCTGCGACCATAAGTTCAGTGCCTATATGCTTAATGACAAACTTTTCTCTTTTAACATCTTGCTTAAGTGATAGATATTTAAGGTCCATATGCTTGGCGCCTTTGGATATCCTATCATGCTTTGAGAAGAATATTGTGGCTTGATTGTCACAGTAAAGAGTTAGAGGCTTGTCAATAAAGCTCAAAGCCCCAAACTCAGACACGAAATTCCGCAACCAGATTCCTTGAATAGAAGCTTCATAACATGCGACATACTCAGCCTCCATGGTGGACGTGAAGATTAACTGTGACTTTTTGCTTTTCCATGATATGGCACTTCCACCAAGGAGATACGCATAGCCAAGAGTACAATGCCTAGAGTCACGACATCCACCAAAATCTGAGTCTGAAAATCCAACCATCTGTGGATGTGTTGATTTTCTATATGTCAGCATAAAATTTCTTGTTCCCTTTAGGTATCTCAAAACTTTCTTTGCAGCTTGCCAATACGCGATTTCTGGGTTACTCTGAAACCTCCCGAGCATGCCCACTGCATGACTTATCTCAGATCTAGTACAGACCTGCGCATACATCAAATTTCCCACAAGAGATGTGTTAGGATACTTTTGCATTTCGTTACGTTCCATTTCATTCTGCGGACATTCTTTAAGGTTAAGCGTGTCACCTTTATGCATAGGAACAATGTTAGAAGAACACGTCATCATGCCATATCTCTTAAGAACTTTATCAATATATGCTTTCTGAGACAATCCTAAAATTCCAAGTGATCTATCACGAAATATTTCAATTCCTATCACATAGGATGCCTCTCCCATATCTTTCATTTCAAAGTTCTTTGAGAGATAACTCTTGGTCTCATGTAATAGATCAAGATCACTACTGGCCAATAATATGTCATCAACATACAGAACCAAAAATATGAACTTACTCCCACTGATCTTGAGGTATATACATGGATCTACTATGTTTTCTTTGAATCAGAATTTCGTAATGATTTCATCAAACTTTAGATACTATTGCCTTGAACCTTGTTTCAGTCCATATCATTCTGACTTTCGATTATGATGCCTTCAGGTTGACGCATATAGACTTCTTCTTTCAAGTCTCCATTAAGAAAGGCGGTTTTTACATCCATTTGATGTAACTCGAGATCGTAATGAGCTGCTAATGCCAGATAATTCTGAATGAGTCTTTTCTAGACACAGGTGAAAAAGTCTCACTATAATCGATGCCTTCTTTCTGATTAAATCCCTTGGCTACAAGTCTGGCTTTATATCATTCTACATTGCCATCACAGTCGAGTTTGGTCTTAAAGATCCACTTACACCCGACTGCTTTGTGTCCTTCAGGCAAAAGAACAATGTCCCAGACTTCATTCTTAACCATTGAGTCTATTTCTTATTTACTAGCATCGATCCATTTATCAGAATTAACATCTTTCAAGGCCTGTGAATAGGAAACAGGATCTTTAATATTCCCTTCTCCAGATTCTACTTGATAAAGCTCAAAATCATTGGAAATAGCAGATCTCCTCGTACGAGTTGATCTTCTTAATGTTGGTTCCTCTTGAACTTCATGATCATTATTGGCAAGATTTTCATCATGGACTGCGTGATCATTTAATAGGTTTTCCTCATTGTTCAACGGTTCAACAATGAGAGGATCCCCAGCATTCGGAAATAAGGGTAAGGGAATTTCTACCTGAATTTCATGAATGGTTACATCACGAACTTTATCACTCCCACTAATCTCGCCATTTTCAAAAAATCTGGCATTACTGGTTTCTACTATTCGTGTACTATGGGATGGACAATAAAACCTATATCCTTTAGATTTCTCAGGGTAACCAATAAAGAAACCGCTGACCGTTCTGAAATCTAATTTATTTTCTTGTGGATTATATATTCTTGCTTCAGCTGGACATCCCCAAACTTGGAGATGTAACAGACTTGGTTTCCAGCCTTTCCACAGTTCAAAAGGGGTCTTTGGAACTGCTTTGCTTGGAACCCTGTTCAAGATATAGACCGCGGTACGTAATACGTCCATCCACAAGGATATAGGTAGGTTAGCATGACTCATCATGGATCTAACCATTCCCATATAAGTACGATTACACCTTTCAGCTACACCATTCTGCCATGGAAAACCAGGCGTTGTGTACTGCGCAACGATTCCTAATTTTTGGAGGAGTATGGCAAATGGTCCAGGATGTTGTCCCGTTTCGTCATATCTGCCATAAAATTCACCACCTCTATCTGACCTTATGATTTTCACATTTCTATCTAATTGCCTTTCACATGTACATTAGCACCGCTATCAATCCACCAACTTTTAGAAGAAACATTAGTAAGATTTGATTCGAAAAAGCTTACTGAACCCATAAGGTTACCTTTCTTTTCGAACCATTCTTTTCTTTTAGGATATTCTTTCTGAAAGTGACCAGACTTTTTACAAAAATTGCATCAGTCATCTTTCTTTGCCTTTTTCTTCTAATTAGCTTTAGTGAAATCATTACTTCTGGGTGGTGCTCTTTTCTGGCCTACTTGATGCCTTTTCCCAGCTTTAATTCTAGCTTCTTGGACATAACGAGAAACTTTAATATCTTCACGACCAAGCCTAGTCTCCTCTTGGACCAACTTAATATTCAATTCATTACTGGACCACCTTTCGTCCATAGCATTATAATTGATCTGAAATGGTCCATACTGAGGAGGTAAGGAATTTAGAATAAATTGGACCAGAAATGAATCATCCATACTCATTCCCAAATTCCTTAGCTTAGCCGCAAGATTGGTCATTTCAATGCAATGTTCATGCATAGACCTTGTGACATCATACTTCATGGTTGTAAGATCTGCCATAAGTTTCTCAGCAAGGGATTTGTCTGCAGTCTCAAACCTCTCTTCAATGGCCTCGAGATAAGCTTTAGCTTTCTCAGCAACCGGGAGGGAAGATTTAATTTTATTAGCAATTGTCATCCTTAAAAACATAATGCTCAATCTGTTCGATTTTTCCCAATCTTTATGGAAAATACATTCTTCCTCAGTACTGTCCTCTGTTATTGGATTTGGTTCCTCTTCACGGAGTGCCAAATCCAAGTCTAGTTTCATTCATCTTTCATAAGCATTCATCATCATTTCACATAATTTGCATGTTTAAGTGTGTCTAGCATTAGTCTTGCATGCATTTTGCATTCTGGAGTTGTTTCAGGTGCTTCGGAGCTATTGGTGTTCAGAAAGAGCAAAAACAAAGCTGAAAGTCACATTTGGACCATTCTACTCGATCACCAGTAGCAGAGAGGGAAGCAGTCAGCTCAGCGGTCCATCCAGACTGTTCTACTCGATCGCAGAGGAAGAGGAGCAGTCCATCCTGCCAGTTCACAGTTCTACTCGATCACAGAGGAAGAAGAGCAGTCCATCCTGATAATCTACCCACATACTCAATCGCAAGGTTGAAGAAGCAGTCTAGATCGTGTCATCAACCAACCTACTCGATCACAGGAGAGAAGAAGCAGTCCAGATCACGCCATCAACCATTCTACTCGATCACCACCTCGACCCTCTGATCAATCCGCACTCAACTAGACAACCTGAGCATAGGAAAGAGAAGAGGAGAGAAGGAACCACTTGATCGCGGCTTCGATTCACGCTCGACCATGGAGCCCACTTTGAGCCCATATACTCGACCTCCACGTTCCATGGGCCTGTTAAGCGGACTTGAAGCCCACTTACTTATCTTTGTCGCTTTTACTATAAATAAGTCTCTAAGGGTTTCCCCTGAGACATTCACTTTTCATTCACGTTTTAGACTCGCAACCTAGTACCATTTTTCTGAATTCAGTAGCCGCTTTTGCTTCTGAAACTTTGTATTTTCGTTTCTTCTAAGTTATTGAGATTTTGCTTTCATTTCCTTGTTCATTTCCTTTAATCTTTGAAGTTATGCAATCATCAATCGTTTCTGTGTCTTTGAGCATGTTGTCTGAGTAGTGACTAGGATTTCTGAGGATGGAATAGAGTAGATGTGAGAGTCTTAGTTGATTCTGATGGTTAAGTGTAGTTTTATTGAATCCCTTCTGGGCTGCTTATTCCTTTCTTATCAACTGGAATTCGATCAAAAGCATTCCCGCACCTAGAAGGTGTTCGATGGAATGCTTGATCTACTAATTCCAGTGATAATCGTCTCTATCCCAAGGGATTGGCCGTTTAGAGCAGTTATTAACTTTAACAGTCGGTTCTTATTGCCTGCATAATTAGATTACGTTAATGGGAA